TGCCCCGATCCAAAGCCAGGAGCCAGGAGCTTCCTCCAGGTCTCCCACATGGGTGCAGAGGCCCAAGGACTTATGCCATCTTCTACTGCTTTCCCAGGCCATAGGAGAGAGCTGGATCAGAAGTGGAGCAGCCGGGACTCAAACCGGTGCCCATATGGGATGCTGGCACTGCAGGCAGCAACTTTACCTGCTATGCCACAGTGCTGGCCCTGGGAACATTTCTCTTAGAGATCATTGTTGCTAATTAAGTCCAGGATATAAGCAAGTTCTGAACAAGCCCATGGAATTTTCCTACATATTTTTAGGCTCTCAGTTTTTCCTTCCAACAACTTAACCTTCTGAATGGGTTTTTTGAAGTTTCTGAAAGCTCCTGCTAACCAAACTTCACCAGGTCACTTCAAACAAAGGGAGACAGTGGACAAGAAAATAATGAAAGGTTATTTCTAATAGCATCATTGGATCAGCTTAGAAATTCCTTCCTGAAGCAACAGAGCTTAAGAAATTATAGTAGGAATTAATTCCAAAGCAGGCTATGGTCAGAGTTAAGTGATAATGAAAAGATACAACTTGTATAAATGATCCACATTCCCACAGCATTTTTAGATTAAAAACTGCTTACAGTGGAAGAGGTAGGATAAAGTTACTGTGTAGGCTAGCTAAGAGAGTAGGAATTATGTTCCTAGACTTGAATATTTCACTCTGGAATGTTCAGGAATGTCATGTTTTTAAAAGTGTCATTAAATACTACATATGTTGTGAAGTGTGTGGAAGGAACACAACCAGCACTTTTACAAAGCTCTTTCTTTACAGAGTACTCTGTGTAGTAGGTTCAATATATTTCTCCACGAAGACTCATAACAGCTATTGAAGTTAGGTCTTGTACTTCATTAAAGTCTTAGAGTTAATGTCTTTTTTTAAAAAATATATTTATTTATTTATCTGAAAGGCAGAGTTACAAAGATGCAGAGGTGGAGACAGAGACAGAGATAGAGACAGAGACAGAGATGGAGAGGTCTTCCATCTGCTGTCCTACTCCCCAAATGGCAACAATGGCCGCAGAAGGCAGGAGCCAGGAGCCTCCTCCGGGGTCTCCCATGCTGGTGCAGGGGCCCAAGGGCTTAGGCCATCCTTGACTGCTTTCCCAGGCCACTGCAGAGAGCTGGATGGGAAGTGGAACAGCCAGGATTCGAACAGGAGCACATATGAGATGCCAGCACTGCAGGCAGAGGCTTCCCTTGCTACTCCACAGTGCTAATCGCTAGTTTATGTCTTTCAAATCTGTTTTACACACTTCAGCCTTGCTCCAAAATTCATTGTCAGTGTTATTAGATGCAAGCTGTTTATGAAAATGCAGGACAAATGCAGTTTTTCTATAAGGGCAGTTTAGGTATATGCCTTGTACATACTTTTCTTTTTTTAACTTTTATTTAATAAATATAAATTTCCAAAGTACAACTTTTGGATTATAGTGGCTCCCCCCCCATAACCTTCCTCCCCTCCCCACAACCATCCCATCTCCCACTTCCTCTCCCATTCCATTATCCATCAAGATTCATTTTCAATTATCTTTATACACAGAAGATCAATTTAGTATTTACTAAGTATAGATTTCAACAGACTGCACCCACAAAGACACACAAAGTATAGAGTACTATTATAGTAGTAGTTTTACTGTTAATTCACATAGTACAACACATTAAGGACAGAGATCCTATATGGGGAGTAAGTACACAGTGACTCCCATTGTTTATTTAACAAATGATACTCTTATTTATAAAGACAATATTCATCTGAGGCTCTTGTCATGAGCTGCCAGGGCTATGGAAGCGTCTTGAGTTCACCAATCTTATTTAGACAAGGCCATAGTCAAAGTGGAAGTTCTCTCCTCCCTTCAGAGAAAGGTACCTCCTTCTTTGATGGCCTGTTCTTTCCGCTGGAATCTTGGAGATCTTTCATTTAGGTCTTTTTTTTGCCCCAGTGTCTTGGCTTTCCATGCCTGAAATACTCTCATGGGCTCTTCAGCCAGATCCAAATATCTTAAGGGCTGATTCTGAGGCCAGAGTGCTATTTAGGACATCTGCCATTCTATGAGTCTGGGTGTATCCTGCTTCCCGTGTTGGATCATTCTCTCCTTTTTAATTCTATCAGATAGTATTAGCAGACACTAGTCTTGTTTATGTGATCCCTTTGACACTTAATCCTATTATTATGATCAATTATGAACTGAAACTGATCACTTTGACTAGTGAGACGCCATTGGTACATGCCATCTTGATGAGATTGAGTTGGAATCCCTTGGCATGTTTCTAACTCTATGATTGGGGTAAGTCAGCTTGAGCATGTCCCGAATTGCACATCTCCTCCCTCTCTTATTCCCACTCTCATATTTAACAGGGAACTCTTTTCAATTAAATTTAAACACCTAAGAATAATGATGTGTTAATTATAGAGTTCAACCAATGGTGTTAAGTAGAACAAAAAAATACTAAAAGGAATAAAATAATAAATTGTACCTCAACAGTCAGGACAAAGGGTGATCAAGTCATTGTTTCTCATAGTGTCCATTTCACTTCAACAGGTTTCCTTTTAGGTGCTCAGTTAGTTGTCACAGATCAGGGAGAACATATGATGTTTGTCCCTTTGGGACTGGCTTATTTCACTCAGCATGATGTGTTCCAGATTCCTCCATTTTGTTGTAAATGACTGGATTTCTTTTTTTTTACTGCTGTATAGTATTCTATAGAGTACAGATCCCATAATTTCTTTATCCAGTCTTCTGTTGATTGGCATTTGGGTTGATTCCAGGTCTTAGCTATTGCGAATTGAGCTGCAATAAACATTGAGGTGCAGACAGCTCTTTTATTTGCCAATTTAATTTCCTTTGGGTAAATTCCAAGGAGTGGGATGGCTGGGTTGTATGGTAGGGCTATATACAGGTTTCTGAGGAATCTCCAAACTGACTTCCATAGTGGCTTTACCAGTTTGCATTCCCACCAACAGTGGATTAGTGTCCCTTTTCCCCCACATCCTCCCCAGCATCTGTTAGTTAATTTCTGTATGTGAGCCATTCTAACCGGGGTGAGGTGAAACCTCATTGTGGTTTTGATTTGAATTTCCCTGATTGCTAGTGATCCTGAACGTTTTTTCATGCGTCTGCTGGCCATTTGGATTTCCTCTTTTGAAAAAATCTATTTAGGTCCTTGGCCCATCTCTTAAGTTTTGTTGTTGTGGAGCTTCTTGATCTCTTTGTAGATTCTGGTTATTAATCCTTTATCTGTTGCATAGTTTGCAAATATTTTTCCCATTCTGTTGGTTGCATCTTCACTTTCCTGACTGTTTGTTTTGCAGTACAGAAACTTCTCAATTTGATGTCATCCCATTGTTAATTTTGGCTTTGACTGCCTGTGCCTCCGGGGTCTTTTCCAATAAGTCTTGCCTGTGCCTATATCTTTCAGGGTTTCTCTGATGTTCTCTAATAATTTGATGGGTCATAGATTTAGATCTTTAATCCATGTTGAGTGGATTTTTGTGTAAGGTGTAAGGTAGGGGTCCTGCTTCATGCTTCTTGCACGTGGAAATCCAGTTTTCCCAGCACCATTTATTGAATAGACTGTCCTTGCTCTAGGAATTGGTTTTAGATCCTTGATCAGATATAAGTTGGCTGTAGATGTTTGGGTTGATTTCTGGTATTTCAATTCTGTTCCATTGGTCTATCCATGTGTTTCTGTACCAGTACCATGCTGTTTTGATTATAACTGCCCTGTAGTATGTCCTGAAATCTGGTATTGTGATGCCTCTGGCTTTGTTTTTGTTGTACAAGATTGCTTTAGCTATTCGAGGTCTCCTGTGTCTCCATATGAATTTCAGCATCACATTTTCCAGATCTGAGAAGAATGTCTTTGGTATTTTGATTGGTATTGCATTGAATCTATAAATTGCTTTTGGGAGAATGGACATTTTGATGATATTGATTCTCTCAATTCTTGAGCATGGAAGATTTTTCCATTTTTTGGTATCCTCTTCTATTTCTTGGACTTGGGCCATCTTCCACTGCTTTCCCAAGCCACAGCAGAGAGCTGGATTGGAAGAGAAGCAGCCAGGACTAGAACCGGCATCCATATGGGGCGCTTGTACCGGAGGCAGTGGCTTTACCTGCTATGCCACAGCGCCGGCCCCTCTATATTACTTTTTTTAAGTAAAAGGCTTCCCCCACCTCCCTCCAGTGCCCATCAATTTTGCTTGCTATTTTCTTTCTGTTTTTTTTTTTTAAGATTTTATTTATTTATTTGAGAGGTAGAGTTACAGACAATGAGAGGGAGAGACAAAGAAAAAGTTCTTCCTTCCATTGGATCACTCCCCAAATGGCCTCAACGGCCTGAGCTTCACCAGTCCGAAGCCAGGGGCCAGGAGCTTCTTCCAGGTCTCCCATGGGTGCAGGGGCCCAAGGACTTCAGCCATATTCCACTGCTTTCCCAGGCCATAGCAGAGAGCTTGATCTGAGGTGGAGCAGGCAGGACTCAAACTGGTGCCCATATGGGATGCCTGCACTGCAGGCAGAGGATTAACCTACTGTGCCACAGTACTGGCCCCACTATTTTCTTTATATATTTCTGGGATAGGCTGGAATTATTTCCTGTCATATGGCTATTTTCATATCTTTCTGTAACTTTACCCTCTTTAAGTAAATTAAGTATTGTTGGGAGAGTTTATTAATGTTATGAATGTTGGCATTATCTGCCTTCAATAGACCTCAGTTTCACTGTGTGTCTGTCCATGTAACATCTTAATTATCTCCAGACAAACTCCTACATCTCTGGAAGGCTTGGCAACATCAGGGGGAGCAAGGAACTAGTTGTTATTCAAGTAAAAAGGTTCTTTTGTGTTCCAAGAAAGAATACAGTGCCAGGAAATCAAGGCAGGGCCTGGCAGGGGAGTTCCCTGCATTTGTAGTGATTAGATGGGGCCCAGGCCTCCTCCTTGTAGCTAACTACCTTTGCAGTGTTGGCTCAGTAGCAAAAGACTTCCTGGGAGTGAAGCTAGCAGCAAACTGAGAGGGCAGTCACAACAGAAAGTTAAGTTTGCTCTGGCCTCCAGGTCTTGCCTCTCTGTGCCCTTGTGGCCAGAATTTCCTGTAAGCACTCCATCTTGTTTTTGTGCTCCTGAAAGGTGATTTGCCGCCTGTGTTCCCCTCAGGACCACACTTCACTCTTCTCCAAGCCCCCAGCTCCGGACCACACAGATTGTCCTCAAAAGAGCCGGTGAGGACACTGGTGACAGGTCACTGCCTTCAGGAAACAAAATGGGTGAGTCAACCAGTATGAGGCCCTGGCCTCAGGACCCCCATAGGGCAGGGAGGGATTCCAGCTCCACTCCAACCTACAGGACACCCAACAGACTCCCTTTGAAATGGGGAGTAGCTAGGGGGCCAGGCAGTTTTTCACTCTCTTGAGGACGTGAACTCACAGGGCCTTAAAACATCCACCCCAGCCCCAGCTAGAAAAACTCACCTCTTGTGGCTATGGTGACGGCTGAGCTGGAGTGTTCTTCTGCCTTAGGGAGAAGGTCTGGACCATGTTGTACTCTAAGTTCAGAGTTTGAGTTGTTGCTGGGGGTGGTGTATCTTCTGCTCTGGGGAGAACTGGAAATGGACAATCTTGGGATTCATACTGGTGGTGAAGGAAGAACAGAGAAGCCACCAGTACCTTTGAATTTTCACAGCAACCAGTCAGTGTCAACTGTTTTACCCCTTTAAGTTTCTTGAGATTTGTTTTAAGGTCCAGCATATGATCCATTTTTGATTATTGCTTGTGTTGCTACATGCAGAATTCTGCTAAGTGTATTTTGTCACACATGTTGTTTAAACCTTCATCTGAGATTTTTTGTCTTTTTGTTTTCTCTGTCACTTAGTGAGATGTGTTAAAATTCCCCACTAAGACAGTGGATATACCTATCTCCATCTACTTCTGTCAGTTTCTACTGTGTATAATTTCTCTGTTTATTTCTATCAATTTTTGATGTGCATGTTTTGGCTGGTTACATTAAAGACGGGTGCAAATTTGTTTTAACGTCTTAATGTAGTATTTAATCTATATCATTATGAAATATCTCATTTTGTCTAGTAGTGTTTTTTACCTAAAGTATATTATATATATTTTTCTTACTATTGGTTACACCAATGATATTTTTAAAAATATTTATTTATTTATTTATTTATTTGAAAGGCAGAGTAACAGAGAAAAAGAGAGATTTTCCATCTGCTGGTTTACTTGCCTAATAGCCACAAAGGCTGGGGCTGGGCCTGGTGAAAGCCAGGAGCCTGAAACTCCATCCGGGTCTCCCATGTAGGTGGCAAAGATCCAAGTACTTGGGCTGTCTTCTGCTGCTTTTCCAGTCACATTAGCAGAGAGCTGAATCAGAGCTGGAGTAGCTGGAACTCAAAACAGGCACTCATGGGGGATGCGGCACTCATAGGGGATGTTGGAGTCTAAGGCAATGGTTTAACCGACTGTGCCACAGCACTGGCCCTGTTCAGTGTTTTAATAGCATGTCTTTTACTATTGCTTTCAGATTCTCTGTAGTATTATACTTTGCATATATATGTCCCTTTTAAGTAGTATTTGATTAAATTGATGGTTTTGATCTAGTCTTATAGTTTCTGCTCTTAAAGATTTATTTATTTGGAAAGCAGAATGAGAGGAGGGGGAAAGGGGGAATTTGAACCAGGCACTCTGATATGGGATGCATGTATCCCAAGTGGTAGCTTAACCTTCTGCGCCAAAATGCCCACCCCATAATCTGTTTTTCGATTTGACTTGTCATTTTTTGTAATCTTTACTCTTTAGATTCCTATGTGCATTCTTACCTTATCGCAGACTAATGTACATTAGTTATTTTACATTTAGTTGGACAACACAGACATCATCACTCATTTTAACCCCATTAATACCCCTCCCAATTTATTGCTGTGCATTTTTATTATTTATTGATTTAAATTCTTCAGTAAAGTTACAACTGTATTATACAGTCAGTACTCATTTAGATTTTCCTACGTATTTGCCAATGTCATTATTATTCATTCTTTCTTGCATCTACATGCCTCCATGGAGGATTATATTTCTAAGGTCTGATGATAACTTTTTATTAAGTTGGCTGGTCTGGTGACAAATTTGCCTAGTGTTATTTGCATTAAAATATCTATTTAAATATAATTTTTGAAAAATAAGATTTTGTAAACACAGAGTTCTAGGTCTGCAGTCATTTTACTTTACTTCTGTGGATATATAATTTTAAATGTTTGAACCTGCCATTATTTCAGGTAAAAAAAAGTATACATCAATCTTATTTTTGCTCATTTGAATACAATCTATTGTTTTTATTTAGTTCAAATATTTGTTTCTGTGGGGTTTTTTTTTAGGAGAGAAAGCATAGACCTCATTTCTTTTTTAAGATTTAGTTAGGGAGAGACAGAAAAAGAGAGAGAGAGAGAGAGAGAGAGAGAGGTCCTCCATCTGCTAGTTCACTCCCCAAATGGCTGCAATGGCCAGGGCTGGGTCAGACCAAAGCAAGAAACCAACAGCTTAATCCAAGTCTCCCACATGGGTACAGGGCCCAAGCACATGGGCCATTCTTCGCTGCTTTCCTAGGCATATTAACAGGGAGCTGGATCAGAAGAGGAGCAGCCAAGACTCAAACCAGTGTCCATGCTGGATGACCAACTCTGCAGGTGGTGGCTTAACCTGCTATGCCACAGGGCCAGCTCCCTCTATGAGCTTTTTGAAGACTCCTCATATGAGTACAGAGCACTTGACCCAGCAACTGCAGAATACACTTTTTTTCAGGTGTCTGGTAACATTCACAAGGATAGAACATCTTCTGGATCTTCAAAGAAACCTCAACCAGGCAAAAGGAACTGAAACTATTCAGAGTATGTTCTCTGACTATAAAAAAATTTCTAAACACTTGAAAATTGTAGTTAACACCTGTCACTTCATTTCATTGTTCAGATGCTTGTTATAGAACAATGAAAGTTAGAAATGCTGAAAGGCATTTCAGGCTGAGAAAAAAAGAAAGTCCATTCTGCGTATTTTAAACAGAAGGCAAGACTGTGGCAGGGAGACAGTGTAGGAGGCTATTGTGTTGACTCATCCGGTCGTTAAAGCTTTTACTAGAAAAGAAACTATACTTGATGCTCCTTAAAGCTTTTACTAGAAAAGAAACTATACTTGATGCTCGTTAACAAAATCAATTTGATGGCTGATGGATTTCGGAGGTGTGAGAGAGATTCTGCCTATCAATTTTGGTGAGGTTGTGAGATTACAGAAGCATGAAAGAAGGCAAAATTTGGATGCTTTCCTGCTATGTGGCAAATGTCCAGTCTAACTCCTAAATGACTTCTCTTCTTTATAAATTCCTGTTCCATTTTCTTTCTTTTTTAAAGATTTTATTTATTTATTTGAGAGGTAGAGTTATAGACCGTGAGAGGGAGAAACAGGAAGAAAGGCCTTCCGTCCGCTGGTTCACTCCCCAGTGGCCGCAACGGTCGGAGCTGTGCCAACCCGAAGCCAGGAGCTTCTTCCTGGTCTCCCATGCAGGTGCAGGGGCCCAAGGACTTGGGCCATCTTCTACTGCTTTCCCAGGCCACAGCAGAGAGCTGGATTGGAACAGGAGCAACCGGGACTAGAACAGGCACCCATATGGGATGCCGGCGCTGCAGGCAGAGGATTAACCCATTGCGCCACCGTGCCGGCCCCATGTTCCATTTTCTTTCTTTCTTTCTTCTTCTTTTTTTTTTTTTTTTTGACAGGGAGAGTGGACAGTGAGAGAGAGAGACAGAGAGAAAGGTCTTCCTTTACCGTTGTTTCACCCCCCAATGGCCACTGCGGCTGGTGCACTGCGGCCGGCACAATGCGCTGATCCGAAGGCAGGAGCCAGGTGCTTCTCCTGGTCTCCCATGCGGGTGCAGAGCCCAAGGACCTGAGCCATCCTCCACTGCACTCCCTGGCCATAGCAGAGAGCTGGCCTGGAAGAGGGGCAACCGGAACAGAATCCGGTGCCCCGACCGGGACTAGAATCCAGTGTGCCAGCGCCGCAAGGCGGAGGATTAGCCTAGTGAGCCGCGGCGCCCGCCTGTTCCATTTTCTAAATGGAGTTCCACACAGTTACCTTCTCTTTCAAGACCTCTTCCTTAATTTTGTCATCTCTGAGAATAGGCTTTCATATCTTGTCAAGTCTGGGAATTTTCTTACTTGCTTTTGTGTGATTGTTCCATTAGGGCAGATTGGTAGTTTAATTGTACTTTCTATGATACTAGGCCAAGAATCGGTTCACGGTGTATGGTTACTGATGTGTCTTTAAATTTGCATTATTGTTCCGAATTTCAGAATCCAATAATGGTGGTGGCTGTCCTCAAGGAAAAAAGAAAGATGATGAAGATTCTTTGCAAGGGAAATTTGACCATGGGAACTTTCATTATGAACATGCTGTGGGTGAGCTTCTGTCTTCAAACCTCCAGGAGGATCGAAACAGGATGATGAGGGATGTCCATGAGAACCCCCAGCTAAGACGGTAAGTGACCAGGCATCCTCATTGGCATGAAGCAGTCCCTGGAACCATGCAACTCTTTCACTGTGTGTGATTTTCTCTCACTGAAAAAACTGAAGAATGCCAGAAGTGGAGTAAAGGTTGAACAGTCTTAATTGTATAAGTGAGTTAGGATGGCCAGCGCCACGGCTCAATAGGCTAATCCTCCTCCTGCGGCACTGGCACACCGGGTTCTAGTCCCGGTCGGGGTACCGGATTCTGTCCCGGTTGCCCCTCTTCCAGTCTAGCTCTCTGCTGTGGCCCGGGAAGGCAGTGGAGGATGGCCCAAGTGCTTGGGCCCTGCACCCGCATGGGAGACCAGGAGAAGCACCTGGCTCCTGCCTTCGGATCAGCGAAGTGCGCCGGCCACAGCAGCCATTGGGGGGTGAACCAACGGAAAAGGAAGACCTTTCTCTCTGTCTCTCTCTCTCACTGTCCACTCTGCCTGACAAAAAAAAAGTGAGTTAGGACTATATAGAGGATTTTATAGCATTTCTTCACATTTATTGATACCTTCTTTTTATTGTATTGTACCAACACCTTTACCTTCCTACCCAAAATTAGGAGCATGGAATGCCATTATGAACATCAAGATAGAATTCTTCCAGAGGGAGCTGTGACAGCAAATACAGATAATGAAGCCCTGAGGAAATTGTTCAAGATAACAGTAAGTGTCCTGACAGAGTCCAGGCAATTTTCAGGAAAGGCAGGTCATGGAGAGTTCTATTGATCACATGTAAAGATGCTAAGTACTTTGCTGGGAAACAGGGACTGACCATTTAAGGGTAGGGACACAGAAGAAATACAAAAGAGAACAGGCTAATTGCAGGAATGCAGGGAAGATTGTCCAAAGGTAAAGGTGGAAATACTGCAAAGATGAAGCAGCCCCACACTAGATGCCTCAGTTTAGATCAAGCTGGATGTGGGGATGTTCAGTCTCTAGAGTCCTTGTCAGAGGGCCAAGTGTGGTCTTCAGTACATAGAATCTATTGGAACCTTATAAAAGAAAGATCATTTTGAACATTTGGATTTCATTATTTGGGAGGTAAATGTTGAAATGGAGATAAAGAACAATCAGGAAACTCATGTCTGGCAAAAAAAGAGAACTGAAATCATGTCAGTGGTCCCTACCTTAGAAGTTTCTAAAACTAAATGCAAGGTCAGGATAAAACACTTGGTTGGGGCTGTTCTCCAGGCTAATTCCATACTGTCTGTTCTCTCCCATCCCTTCTTTTAACACTTAGATTCCCTACGGGATAAAGTATGAGAAGACATGGCTAATTAATTCAATCCAGAGCTATTGCAGTGTCCCTTTCACCCCAATCAACGTAAGAAAAGATGGTGAAGCCAAATGAGTGGGCATAGGGGAGGAGGAGAGGCCTGGCTTGGCAGGAGTTTTGAACTCTGAGACTGTTGCTTTGCCTTCACTCCCCATAGCTCAGGTATGTCAGAAATCAAGTGGAGTTCTTTGTTCAGGATGCTAGCACTGCCTCGACATTGGAGGATATCAACTACAAGATTTATGATGAGGAAAATCAAAAGGTATGGACTGAAGTCATTCCTTGGGTTGATTCCCAAGGCAGGAAGACAGGCCAAGGGCTGGTTGGCTGCTTTCGGATTAGAAGTCTTGGTGCTTACTCTGCCTCTCCTTCCTGCAGATATCTATCCTTGTTGAACCTTCCACTGAAACTCATTCTGTGCAGACTAACTTAAAGCCAGAGCAAATGGAGGTGCTAATGGTAATGCAGATTTAAGGCACATTGTGCACCCACTTCCCAGATTCACATGTTCTTCCACCCTTCTGACTTCTGTGTGACCATCACCCATTTAATCTCAGAGTCCTGCTGTCTATCTGTCTCTGCAGTTGACCATGAACAAACGATATGATGTTTCCCAGAAAGCTCTTGACCTCCAGAGCCTCAGCTTTGACCGAGGTATGGCTGACAGCAGTAATTTCAGGGCGTGTGAAGTCAGAGGGAATATGTGGGGATGACAACCTGGGGAGGGGTTGGGCTGGTGCTGGTACAGTCAGAACCTGCCCCCATCTTGCTGATACCCTTCTCTTGACTTCCTGAAGACTTGGTAGGCCATGAAACTGACATGATCTTGGATGAAAGAAAATGTATGACTGCTGCCCTGCAGATCATTGAAAAGAATTTCTCTGAGGTGAGGCCTTAAGCCCAGTTATTAGATATAAGGATAGAAGAGTTGGGTGAAAGGGAAATATTTTCTTCCTGGCTCTTGGATAGTTGCTATCACTCTAACTCTTTCTCCCACAAAGCTGTTGTCCTTGAATTTGTGTAACAACAAGCTGTACCAGCTGGATGGCTTGTCTGACATTATAGGGAAGGTGCCCAAAGTCAAGATCCTGAACCTCTCTGCAAACAAGGTGAGAAGAGGGAGCCAGATGGAATAGGGGTTGAAGGTGACAACATGCAGACAAAAGTACCTGTGGGAGAGGGAGGAGAGCTAAAGGAGCAGAGGCCTAGATCTCTCTCTCCCTGGAACTCCTTTTGCATTTTTCTCCCTGTATCTCTCAGCTGAGGACAGCATGGGAATTGGAGAAGGTGAAAGAGCTGGATCTGGAAGAGCTGTGGCTGGAAGGGAACCCCTTGTGCAGAACCTTCCCTAGCCATGCTGCCTACGTAAGGTCAGTGGTGGTGCCTCTGACCCTCGTGGGGACCTTCATCCCCCACAGCCTGAGCTGCCCCAACACTTGCCACCTGTAGGCAGGCAGCCCTGGTCCACTGGGAAGTCCATGGCCCTGCCCTCTGCTCTGTCCCTCAGCTCTGAGCTGCTCCCCTTTCCACCTGGTCGGGTGTGTTTCTCCCGTCTGTACATCTGGCTGCCTCCAGCACACCCTCCCGTAGTTGTGTTCCGGGAAGCAGGGCTCCCTGTCCTCACCAGGGACAGAGATGCTGGAGACATGGACTCCGGTGGGTCCTCCAGCCCAGGGCCTCGTGCTGACTCAGGCTTCCTGTCCTTGGACTGAGACGGGGCTGGCTTCCCTCCCCTGTCCTGAGAGGGGCCCTCCTTCCCCTGCTCCAGAGAGGTCCTCCCTGCCTGTTCCAGGCTGACACGGGAGCTTTCATGCCTGACACTAAAGGCTGAGGCTCCAGGTGGCTGGCAGCAGGACGTCTGTTCCTCTGGTGCAGTGCCGGAAACTGGGCTGTCCTTCAGGACGAACTCAGGTTCCTTGAGTCAAAGGGTCAGATAGATGCTGGCCAGCTGCAGTAAGAAAGGACTTCTCAAGGCACAGGTTGGAGGTCAAGGGCAGTGGAGGGTGAAGTTGAGAAGGACAGGCCTGTCCAGAGCACCACTCCTCCCTTCTTCCTCACCACGTCCTCCAGGGGATCCCTAGGAGCCCATGATGGGTCCGTTTCCTAGGGTAAGGCACCAACGACTCAAGTACAGCTGCATGGGGATCTGGAGGAGAGAACATGGTGATCCTGAGAAGGTTCCAGGACCCTCTACCCTGTGCTGACCTGGGCCCTGACCCCTCACTGCTTGTGAGGAAGGTCTCCTGTGGCTACTCTATTGGCCATGCTCAGCTCAGACTGGCCTCATACAGGTGACAGACTGGCCTCATACAGGTGACAAAGGCTCAACCTGCCTCCAGGGGCTCCAGCCCAAAAGGTGCCTGTTTTCTTGCCTATCTTGGGCCTTCAGGTCCACCCAGCATTAGCTGAAGAGAAGGGCTACAGCAGGGAAGCCACTCTCTGCTCTCTTCCTCCCTGACCCCCACTACCATGGTCAAGTCTCTTCCTCTTCTCTTTGCTTCCTCTCCCTCCCTTGTCTCTACTCTCCGTCTCCCCCACCTATCCCTGGCCTACCTTCCTTCCCTCCCTTTCTCTTATCGTCCCTATGCCTTCCTCTTCCTGCCACCAGAGCCCTGCCTCACTCCCTTCCCTGACCCAGCCGCCTCCTGGGCCATCCCTGGGGGATGAGCTGGTCTTGTCCAGTCCATGCTTGACAGAATGGTGGACACTCTGAGAAGTAGCAGAGGCCTGGGCTCTCACCCCTTTCTTGTTCTCTGAAGAGCATTTCCAAAGTTTCTTGGAAAGTAATGGAGGCGGCGAGGGGAAAGAAACCTGGACGCCCAGTGGAGTTCACCATGACCTGGAAGAAGGGGGTTAGATCATTATAGGGAGAGCTACCCAGTGTGTAAGAGGAGAGGCAGACAGGGAGAGGCTATGCAACTCTGACTCATCAATCATTTCAATCAATTTTTGGTTTTGAACAGGGCCATCCGGAATTGTTTCCCCAAGTTATTACGCCTGGTAAGTACCTACCTTCGTCATTATCATTTCTTGAAAGCATGACCTCCACAACTTCCCTGAATCTTTCTGGGATCTGCCTAGATTAGATTTTTACAGTTTTCCCCCCAACAAGTTAGGAAAACCGGATTCCTGATGAAATGGACTCTTTCTGGTAAAATATGACCATAAACTAACTCCCTCTCCCTCTCTTTCTGCCTCTCCGTCTCCCTCTCCCTTCACTCAAAAGTTGCATATAATACTAGACTCCCAAGATCCACTGGTGAAGATGTCAACTGTCGTCTTGCTGATTGACTATCAAAGGTTATTTCACACCTCACCTGATCCAGCCCTTTTCCCCCTCAGACCTGTTCATCTCCTTGCTCATCCAACACCACCTCCCTGTTGTATACTGATGACTACCTCTTCCCTTCTCCCAGGATGGAAAGGAGTTACCACCAATTGCAATTGATATGGAAGTCCCCGAGATAATAAAACCTTGTAAGGTGAGGAGGAACCCATGAAGGTTAGATGTGTGGGACAGGCATTTGTTATAGTGGTTAAGATGCCACTTGCGGGCACTCACACTCCATATCAGAGTGTGTGGATTTGGCTCCTGATTCCAGCTTCCTGATAATGAGCACCCTGGGAGGCAGCAGGTGTTTGGGTCCCTGCTATCCACATGGGAGACCCAGATTGAGTCCCAGTTTCCTGATTTCAGCCTGGCCTAGCCCTAACCATTGTGGGCATTGAGTGGATCAGTGGATTATAAACCCCTCCCCACATTTCTCCCTTTAAGTAAATGTTTCAAAAGCATTAGAGGGAGGTTTTGTCAACCACGTTGTTCCAAGGTGTCTTTTTATTTCAGGAAAGCTATAAAGGATCTGAGACCCTGAAGAGTCTCATCCTGCAATTTCTGCTTCGGTATGTACCCTCAGACCACAAGGCAGAGAAGGGCTGGGGCAAGACAGGCTACCCTAAGAACAGGGCTGCCTATGAATTGAACAGAGTTTTCAAAGTCCTTTGAGAACCCAGGCCGCAGAGGTAGACTGTCTTCATTGCTCCCCAACAGGTATTATGTGATTTATGACTCTGGAGATCGACGGGGTCTCTTTGGTGCTTACCATGAAAAGGCCTGCTTCTCCCTGACCATCCCCTTCAACTGTGGTGATCCATTGTAAGTAAGGCAGCTCAGACTCTGATGTGAGCCATGTAACTCCCCAAGGGGTACAGGTCAGATCCTGAAAATGCCACCTCCTGTTTTTATTTTCCCCTACAAGCAGCTTATGGGAGTACTTTAAGTATAGCAGGAATATGAAGAAGCTCAAGGACCCATGTAAGTGTATAATGGGGAAAGACCATCACGGAAAGGGGGATGTAAAAGAATCAGTAATAGGGTATATGGGCCAGGGTATGGCAGCTTCTGCTCTTCATTTCTGCTCCACAGACTTGCGGAGGCAGCTGCTGAAGCACACAAAGCATGACATTGTGAATTCTCTCAGTGTCTTGCCCAGAACTCAGCATGACTTCAGCTCCTGTGTGGTGGACCTGTGTTTTCAGACAGTGAGTACCTGCTTCCTCTCTCAGGCAGCTCAGGAAACCTAGATGTACGCAGGAAGTTTGGGGGAGAGCATGAATGCCCTTGTTTACCATTCTTCACTTTCAGGAAATGATGCTCTGCTTTTCTGTCAGCGGTGTGTTCAAGGAATGTGAGTATCTTTACATTCCACTCCCCAGATCCTCCATTCCTCATGTTGCCAGGGCTCCTTCACAGGACTCTTTCAGCTCCTTCCCCTTCAATCTTTCTTCTTCTCCCATGCCCCAACACATAACTTAGGTTTTATGGACACAAACTGTAGTTTGATGGCTCTCATTCCAAGTTATTGCTTTGCAGACTTTGGGCTGTTACATAGCCCTTCTCTTCCCTTATTTGCAAAATGGGGTTGGTAAGCCAATTTCTTAGTCAGTCAGCTGCAAAAATAAATCAAATGACTTCATGCTTCACACATGTGGGAGGATCCTGTCATTAGGAGCTGATTATTTCTACTATTGTCCTCTCAGTCCCTGAAACTCCCTTCTGATTACTAGTGAAACGTTGCCCTGATCTGACCCCCTTCAGGGTGTCACAAGAGTGTCAGGTAAGATCATGAATCTGGACCACCATGCGAGTGTGGAAAGTGTGTGTGACTCTAAGTGAGTACCTTTGTTTGTTATCATTGAAGTGGAAGGAAAGTCCCCGGGTATTGTTCGTGCCTTCACCAGGATCTTCATCTTGGCTTCTGTCAGCAGTTCCAGGTGAGTGCTGTGTTGTGGGTTGCAAGAGAACACACTTCTCATCCTGGAGCCAATGATACAGGAATGTGATAGTACAGTCTTGGGGTCTTCTCAGTACTGTGAAGGCCAACAGGTAGATCCAGGGAGAAGTCTAGATTAGTGCTTAAGTATGTGGTCTCTGGAGTCGGAATTCTGAATTATCTTGCTGACTTCAACACTCACTAATTAGCTATGTGACCTTGATCAAGTTTAAAAAAAACTTCTCTGTGACTCCCTGTTCTCCCTTTATTTTTTTATTTTGACAGGCAGAGTTAGACAGTGAGATAGAGACAGAGAGAAAGATCTTCCTTCAGTTGGTTCACCCCCCCCAAAATGGGTGCTACGGCCAGCGTGCTGCACCGATCTGAAGCCAGGAGCCAGGTGCTTCCTCCTGGTCTCCCATGCGGGTACAGGAGCCCAAGCACTTGGGCCATCCTCCACTGCCTTCCCGGGCCACAGCAGAGAGCTGGATTGAAAGAGGAGCAACCGGGACAGAATCCAGCGCCCCAACAGGGCGCCACAGGCGGAGGATTAGCCTAGTGAGCTGCAGTGCCGGCCCTTGTTTTCCTTTTAAAATGAGGATGAGGGTCCATTTCTTTTGTAAAGTGTAAATGCATTGGGGTTAGATACATGAATCTAGTGAAGCTGGTAGAAAATGTTTCCAAGGTAGGCTCCATGGCAGTGGTAAAGGTTACCAGCCCAGGACATTTTTGAGGTAGGTATAGGTATAGTTGGGATTTGGAAGGAATATGGCTGCTATGTGGCAGTGGAAATGGGAACATTGTTGGGAGCATGGGGTTGCCCGTTCCTCCAGTTTTCTGAGTAGCCCTCTTTCCTACAGCATATGCATTGTGAATGACAAGCTGATTGTGAGGAATGCCAGCCCCAAAGAGACCCAGAGTGCCTTTTCCACTCCCTTGCCCTCATGCTTCTCCAGCTCTGTGCCCACCCTCTCTCAAGAGAAGATGGAAATGGTGAAGGCTTTCTCCACCCAGTCTGGGATGAATTTGGAGTGGTCTCAGAAGTGAGTGCTGGGAGTCTCAGGGGATAGGCTTGATCTGAGAGGAGAGGGGAATGAAAAATGGAGATTTGAAGGTAATTTGTAAAAATAACTCTTTGGATGTTATGCTTCCATACTAATTTTATTGTGATAATGTAAGTAATTTTAAACAATGTAATGTTCAGATAACATATTATTTATTTTAAATCCTAAGGAAACCACTAAAAACATCAAAATTAATAAGCAAGTTCGTTATTATTTCAGGATGCAAAATCAATATACAAAAATCAACTCTATTTACACTAGTAATGAACAATCAGAAAATAAAATTAGGAAAAAAATTTCATTATAATAGCATCAAGAAATAACCTACAGATTTAACAAATACTCTGAAATCTGTAAAATACTGTATAAGCACATTTTTTAAAGATCTAAATAAATGGAAAAATATTCCTTGTTCATGGATTGGGAGACTTAATATTGTTACGATGATAATAAGCACAAGTTTATATATACATATTCATTCAAGACAAATGTGATTAATATTAAAATCTAAGCTGAGTTCTCTATAGAAATTTACAAGCTTATCCTAAAATTCAAACAAAAAATATAATGAACTCCGAATAGAGAAATAATCTTGATACAGAAGTGTGAAGTTGGAGGACTCACTATAAAGTCACTATAAACTTATTACGAAGCTATAGTAATCAAGCAGTGCTAGATGATACAGTACTAATAAGCATACAGACCAATACAATAAAATGAGAGTAAAAAAAAATCTTTACCTTCATGATCAGTTGATTTTTCAACCAGCATTCCAAAAAAAAAAAAAAAGGCCAACGTGTAGAACCTTTTCAGCAAATTTTCAGCAAATGGTGCAGGGACAACTGGATATCAACCCTCAAAAGAGTGAATTTGTACTCCTATATCATATCATACACAAAAATTGATATGGAACAAAAGGCCAGTGCTGTGATGCAGCAGGTTAAGCTGCTGCCTGCAATGCCAACATCCCATATTAGAGTGTTGGCTCGGATCCTGGCTGCTCTGCCCCCAATCCATCCCCTTGCTACTGTGCCTGGGAAAGCAGTGGAAGATTGCCCAAATGCTTGGAGCCCTGCCACCTATATGGGAGACCTGGATGGAGTGCCTGGCTTGTGGCTTCAACCTGGCCCAGTCTCAGCCATTGTGGCCCTTTAGGGATTTAACCAGCAAATGGAAGCTCTCCCCCGGCCCCATCTCTCGCAGTCTTTCAAATAAATGAATCTGTTTTTTTTTTTTAAAAAGGACCAAAAGCCTTAAAGTTATAACTAAAACAATAGAAATATTAAAAGAAAATGGAAGAGTAAATAGTCATGACCTTGAATTTGAAGATGGTTTCTCACATGAGAGTAAAAGCACAAGCAAAAAAGAAAAAGTACACTTCAAAAATTAAAATATTTTTATATCAAAAGACATCAATAAAGTGAAAAGGCAACCTAAGAATCAAAATATTTGCAATTTATATTTCTGATTAGTGACTTGTATACAGAATATAACAAATTCTTTGAACTCAATAATAAAAAACAAGCTATGAATTAACATGAGTAAGAGTCCAAATATACATTTATGAAAAAAAGACATACAAATGTCCAAAAGCACAAGGAAAGTTACTCAACAGCATTAAATGAGAAATGCAATCAAAAATACACTCTGATGCAATGTCAGTCACACCAGGATGGCTATTTTTTTTAATATAGCAGGTGTTGGCAAAGATATAGCTAAATTGGAATCTGCATATATTGCTGGTGACAATGGAAAATGATGGTGTAAAACAGTTTGGTAGTCTCTCAAAATGTTAAATATGGGTTACCCTTATGACCCAGCAATTCTATCATCTGGGGTGAAATTTGTTCACACAAAAACTTGTACACAAAGTTCATAACACCATTATTCATAATAACCCAAAATGGAAATTCAAATGTCCCTCAATTTATAAATGAATAAATCAAATGTGGTATATCTTCATACAGTGGGATATTGCTCAGAAATAAAATACAGTGAGGTTTTGATGCATGCTATAATGTGGATCAACCTTGAAAGTATTAGATGAAATAAGCCAGCCACACGGGGCCTGTATTGTGGACCAGCGGGTTAAGCCTCTGCTTGAATTGCTGGCATCCTCTATCTGAATGCCAGTTTAAGTACTGGACACTCTGCTTCCAATAAAACTCCCTGCTATTGTACCTGGGGAAACAGCGGATGATGGCCAAAGTATTTGGGCCGCTGCCACCAATATGGGAGACCAGGTTGGAGTTCCAGGCTCCTGGCTTTGGCCTGGCCTAGCCCTGGCTGTTGCAGCCATTTGGGAAATAAAACAGCAGATGGAAATTTCCTATCTCTCCCTCTCATTCTCCATTCCTCTCTCTTTTATTCTGCCTTTTGAATAAATAAAAAAATCTTAAAAAAGAATAACATAAGCCAGTCACAAAAGACCACATATTGTATAATACATGAACAGACAAGTCCATACAAACTCCAAGCAGAGTAGTGGTCATGAGTGTCCAGGGTAAAAAGAATAGGTAATGATCTCTAACAGTTAAGGAGATTCTTTTTCAGGTAACAAAAAAGATTTTGGAACTACTTGTGATGGTTACACAGTCTTTGTGAATATACTAGAAAATGACTGAATTGTATACTTTAAAATGGTAAAATCTGTTTATGTGCCTTATAACTCAATTTAAAAATGAGCTATAATGAGAACTGGAAATCATTTGAATCTCCACTTGTGGTTTTCTCAGTTAAAGAATGTGTACCAGGCTTCCTTGTTTTGAATACTTCTATTTTTCTGCTGTAAATTCTTGTGGGCATGTTAGTGACAGACATTGTGGCTTTCAAAAGGTCTTCATCATTAGAACAGTTATTGGCCGGTGCCGCGGCTCACTAGGCTAATCCTCCACCTTGCGGTGCTGGCACACCGGGTTCTACTCCCGGTCGGGGCACCGGATTCTGTCCCGGTTGCCCCTCTTCCAGGCCAGCTCTCTGCTGTGGCCAGGGAGTGCAGTGGAGGTAGCCCAAGTACTTGGGCCCTGCACCCCATGGGTAGACCAGGAGAAGTACCTGGCTCCTGCCATTGGATCAGCGTGGTGCGTTGGCCACAGCGGCCATTGGAGGGTGAACCAATGGCAAAGGAAGACCTTTCTCTCTGTCTCTCTCTCTCACTGTCCACTCTGCCTGTCAAAAAAAAAAAAAAAAAAAAAAAAGAACAGTTCTTATTCTGGTACACGTGTCCCAGTGAAAAAAGAGCATGGGTGAAAGAGTAGCACGCTGTGTGCTGTGGTAGTGATGGACATCACCTGTTCTTTTCCCACTCCAGGTGCCTTGAAGACAACGAGTGGAACTATGCCACAGCTGCGCAGATCTTTACTATGCTCCAGGTGAGGTCTGGGAAGCAAGTGGCTAAAAGGTGGAAGTTTTGGATCATAGGAAGTTGTAGGCTGTGGCCTGAGGATGAAATTTAGGGCACCTAACTCCTCTGATGTACCAACACCTTCCCTCCAGAGGCAGGGCAGGATCCCGGAGGAGGCCTTCAAGCAAATTCCCTAAAAAGAGCCCTTGGATATTGTCTTCATCCACATCATCTTTGTTTCTCTTTTCCCCAGCCTAAGGACATACCCATTACTGGGGTTAAAGATCTGGCTATCTGGCCGGCGCCGTGGCTCAATAGGCTAATCCTCCGCCTTGCGGCGCCAGCACACCGGGTTCTAGTCCGGGTCGGGGTGCCGGATTCTGTCCCGGTTGCCCCTCTTCCAGGCCAGTTCTCTGCTATGGCCCGGGAGTGCAGTGGAGGATGGCCCAAGTGCTTGGGCCCTGCACCCACATGGGAGACCAGGAAAAGCACCTGGCTCCTGGTTTTGGATCAGTGCAATGCGCTGGCTGCGGCGGCCTTTGGAGGGTGAACCAACGGCAAAGGAAGACCTTTCTCTCTGTCTCTCTCTCTCACTGTTCACTCTGCCTGTCAAAGTAAATAAATAAAGATCTGGCTATCCAAGATGCCAAAGTTCTTTTGTAGACCCAGTAACATGACAGTCTAGCAGTCCAGTTGTTCTGTGCATTTCTCCCACTCAATATTGTTGTTTATTTTTCATAATAAAGAGTGACTTCATATTATTATATCTTGTGTGTCTCTTCATCTGCCCCAACCATTAAACAATATGACCAGGAATGAAAGGCCCTGCATTTCCTTGCTCCACCTGGCTGTCCCTAACAGATACGTCAGGCTTGCCTCTGAGTAGTTTGTCACTAAATCCCAATGAGAAAGTGCAGCGTGCATGAAGGAGTGGCATGTTGTAGTTGTGATGTCTGTCCTGTGGTAGTGACTTCCTGGGGTTACTCTTTGGAGATAGTGTGACTGTCAGATGCTCCACCTAGAGTCCCATATTAGAGAATGTCACATTCTGTTCAGTTCTTTGGTACATTTGTCAACAATTGGCAGTTAGCAGTTCTGAATTATAGGCAAGAGTTGAAGAGGATATATACACAATTTATTTTCCACATTCTATAATGCTTGTACTTTAGACAACAAGAGGGCATAGTTTTTGAAAGTAAAATAATAACAGTATTAAGTTTTCATGTTAGAAGCCTATAAACAATTTCTTGAGTTGGCCTACCAAGGGTTTACGAATTATGCCTCACCTTCTGTGTTTTACATAAGTCATTTGCTACCACTTGCCATTTTTCAATTTTTTTATTTTTAAACACTTTGAACAGAAACATAAAACTTGTACAAATTGATGGGGAACCATGGGATGTTTTGATACATGCATGCATTGTAATGTCCAATCAGGGTACGTATGTCTATCTCAGACATTTAACATTTCTTTGTGGGGAAAACATTCAAAATCCTGTCTTCTTATTTTTATTAGAGAAATATATAGTACATTAACAATATCTATAGTCATCCTGTATAACAGAACACCAGAACTTCTTACTCCAGTCTAACTAATATAGTACCCATTAATAAACCTTAGACTATATTTCCTTCGCCCCTTAACTCCTCAGCCTCTGGTAATAATATTATACTTTTAACTTTTATGACATCACTTTTTTCTAGACTTTTTTGCTTTTTCTTGCCCAATGGTTCTGGCTAGAATGTCTAGTACTACAGTGAGTTAAGAGGGTGAAAGTAGAAAAACTTGTTTTATTCCAGTTCTTAAAAAGCACTCAGCTTTTCCCTTTTCAATATGAATGTAAATTGTTGGTTGTTAAATACAGCTTTTATGGCCAGCGCTGCGGTTCAATAGGCTAATCCTCCACCTGCGGCGCAGGCACCCCGGGTTCTAGACCTGGTCGGGGTGCTGGGTACTAGTCCCGGTTGCTCCTCTTCCAGTCCAACTCTCTGCTGTGGCCCGGGAGTGCAGTGGAGGATGGCCCAAGTGCTTGGGCCCTGTACCCGCATGGGAGACCAGGATAAGCACCTGGCTCCTGGCTTCGGATCAGAGCGCTGCGCCGGCCACAGCGCGCCGGCCACAGCGGCCATTGAGGGGTGAACCAACAGAAAAAGGAAGACCTTTCTCTCTGTCTGTCTCTCTCTCACTGTCCATTCTGCCTGTCAAAAAAAAATCTTAAAAAAATACAGCTTTTATAATAGTGAGGTTAATCTCTTTTATACCTAGTTCACTCAGAGTTTTTATCATGAAGTGATGTTGCATTTTATCAAATGCCTTTTCTTTTTTTTTTTTTTGACAGTACCCACCACGAGGTAGTTTATTTCTATTTTAGAAAGTTTTTTTAAAGACTTATTTATTTTACTTGAAAGGAAGAATTACACAGAGAGAGAAGGAGAGGCAGAGAAAGAGCAAGGTCTTCCATCCGCTAGTTCACTCCCCAGATGGCTGCAACCCGAAGCCAGGAGCCAGGAGCTTCCTCTGCGTCTTCCCATGCAGGTGCAGGGGCCCAAGGACTTAGGCCATCTTCCACTGCTTTCCTAGGCCATAGCAGAGATCTGGATAGGAAGTGGAGCAGTAGGGACTCAGGCTGCCAGCACTGCAGGTGGTAGCTTTACCCATTACACCACAGTGCCAACCCCGAATGCCTTTTCTATATTTAGATGAACATATGATTTTGTCCTTCATTCTTATGATGTGGTATATCATGTATTGATTTGCATATGTTGAACCATCTTTGCCTCACTGGATTGAAACCCATCTGATTGTGGTGAATTATTATTTTAATGCACTTATGCCTCAGTTTGCAAGTATTTTGCTGACGATTTTTTTTTTATCTGTTCAAGGATATTGGCCTGTAGTTTTCTTCATCAGTTTGTCCTTGTCTGATTTTGTTATCAAGTTAATGTTGGCTTCATAGAGTGAATTTCTAAGAATTCCACCCCTTTGATTGTTTGGATTAATTTAAGAATAATTGGTGTTGATTCTTCTTTAAACGTTTGGTGTCATCTAGCAGTGAAGCCATCTAAACCTGAGCCTATCTTGGATGGGAAATTTTTATTACTGACTCAATCTTTCTCTGCATTATTGGTCTTTTTAGTTATTACATTTCTTCATGATTCAATCCTTGTAGGGAGTATGTGCCCAGGAGTTTGTCCATTTCTTTGAGCTTATCAAATTTGATGCCATATCTTTATTCACAGTAATCTTTGAAAATCCCTTGTTATTTCTGTGGTGTCAGTTGTAATATCTCCCTTTTCATCTCTGATTTTATGCATTTGAATCTTCTTTTTTTATTGTCTGAGGTTTTGTCAATTTTGCTTATCTTTAAAGGGAACAGAGCACAAATAAATCAAATAGAGACTACCCCCCCACCATGTCACACACACAATCACATAAAATAAATGATACAAAGAACTGATTACTCACCTGGCTGTGGAAAGACCAAATGCGCAGTCTCCAGATACAGGCTTGGGGACAGGGCTGTGCACCTGGTCTCACTTTGAATTTTATCAATATGAGACTGGCACTAGGATTCAAGTCTAATGACTGGACTTAATTTGCTCTTCCTCTTCCATGTGGGAAGCACATTGTCTCTCTCAATGTGATTCTCAGAGGTAGGGAATAGGAGATGTAGGCACCGTTTCTTACTATTATACCTAAAACCAGGCACTGTGGTCTCTCGCCTGGCTTCTATATCTCTTGTGAAGGTGACTTTGTGTATGAGTGGTTGTACAAATTGGTGTCTGTGGGGATATGTTCATTGGAATGCCACCATCTTCCTCCACCTCTGTACATGAGTTTTAATCATTTAATTTTATAGTAATAATAGATATTTCTCTTTGCTGCTTTGTTCATAGTTTCTACAACCCTTCTGTAATGCCATTTAATTTCCTCTATTATAATATATTTTCCTGATAAATAAGGTATCAAATGTATGAATCACAAGACACAGGGAAAATATAACAGGAGCAACTTGTATTAGTATGCTGTAAAATGTAACAATTAGTGATATTTTAATGTAAATGATACTTCCAAATGAAAAAATACATGTATGATATTATACACAAATATATCTAGGAAACATAAACTGTTTTCCAGTGTCAACATCTTGACAATTCAAGGGACTTATATTGTAATGGAAATTTTCTGAATCTTGATTAATGTTGATATATTGCTTGTGATATGTACTAGTTCTGCATGATATTTCCATTGAGGGAAACCAAGTAAAGTTTTTAAGAGATCTCTCTGTATTATTGATTACAACTTCAGAATCTGTAGTTATCTTAAATTAAAAGTCGTAATTTAAAAGAAATGAAAGGGAAATGAGCATGTTTTCAGAAATTTTTAAGGATTTATTTATTTATTTATTTATTTGAAAGAGAGAGAGGTCTTCCATCCACTGGTTAACTCCCCAATTGGCTGCAATGGCCGGAACTGTGCCGATCTGAAGCCAGGAGCCAGGAGCTTCTTCCAAGTCTCCCACGCGGGTACAGGGGCCCAAGCACTTGAGCCATCTTGTACTGCTTTCCCAGGCCATAGCAGAGAGCTGGATCAGAAGCGGAGCAGCCGGGACTTGAACCAGTGCCCATATGGGATGCTGGCATTGTAGGGGGCAGCTTTTACCCGCTATGCCACAGCTCTGGCTCCCAGACTTTTTTTTAAAAAAGAGACAGAATAACCAACGAAGAAGGCAAATAACTACATATTGAGATGAGTGCCGAAGAAAAAGCACTGAAACTCAGTAAGGAAAAAACAGGAACCTGATAGTACATAGAGACTGTGGGTAGCAGTATAGAGAGAAGAACAAAGCCAACTAGTAACTTAATGCCCAAATCTCCAGCCAGGGGGAATCCCATTGCAAGGGAAATTGTGAACAAGAAAGCCTCAGTGAAGCTCAAGTGCACAAACGCCTTACACGGGCAGTCTTCTCTGGAGAAGAAGATGGTTTAAAAAGACCAAGAGTTCAGCAAGGAGAGTTACCTGGAAAACACACAGCCACTTTGCTTCAGAGAAGTAACTCCCATTGTATCCCCTACAACCTCCAGAACACAGGTTGCATCAGTGTGGGACCAACTTGAGAATGGAGTCACTGTTTCAATGTGTGCTACTTTAGGAGACAGAACCCACTGGGTTATCTCCATCACAGGGGACCCACAGACATTCCTGCACTTTGGCAAGGAAGACTGCAGTCTTATAAGTCCAACTAGACCCAGCAGGGCAAGCATGACCATAGCTCATACAGTTCTCTGCACTTCATGAGACGGTGCAGAGAAGCAGGGAGATCTGGCTGGAAGGAGCCTAGAAGTAGGGGTACCTCTCCCCACCTCAGAGTTGGGGATCATCCTCCTCCTGAATTTCTCCTCTGCCCTGACCACTCAGGCTACCACTCATTGTTACTGGGACTCATGCACATTGACTCCAGGTCTGAGTTCCCATGGCTCCCCCTAATCTGTCCACTATGGCTCAGAGCTGTGTGCACTAAGCACTGTATGCACAAGTTAAACAGTGCACATGTTCGGGACTATACATGCACCCAACCTGCTCCCAATGCCAGTGCAATGAGGAGCCCACAGCTTGAGATCTAGCACCGCTGATGGCTCCAGTTCCTTCATGGGACAGCTTACCAAGGTTCCTGCACTTTGCTCAGCCTGGCATGCTACTCTTAGGGCTCCAATTCCTCCTCCAGACAACAGATTGGGGTTCCACACCATGCCTAGCTCAGCATGATGCTTGCTCAGGGCTCTGGCCCAGAGTCTCTGTGTGGGGCCAGCATGCTGCTCAGGGGCCAGGCCCCTCCCACAGGCAGTGGTTAGGGATGTGCCTGTTTTACCCTCTCAAAGCCAGGGACACTCCTGTAGATACAATCACTTCAAAAGATAACAGCTGGAGGGTTTGCCTGCCCTGCTAATGCTGCTCTTTGAAGCTGGCGTGCTCCTGGCAATTGCCCAGGCTGCT